ATAACATCAGCTTGTTGTATTGTCGACAGGCGATGAGCTATTATGAATGTTGTTCGTCCTTCCCTTGCTTTATCCAGTGCCTCTTGTACAATCTTCTCACTCTCTGTGTCAAGAGCTGAGGTAGCTTCATCCAGTAGGAGTATCTTTGGGTCTCTCACTAGAGCTCTTGCTATAGCAATACGTTGTTTCTGTCCACCACTCAACTGAGCTCCTTTGTCCCCTACTAAAGTATTGTATCTATCAGGTAGCTCTGATATAAAGTTGTGAGCGTTTGCTGCACGAGCTGCTGCCTCTATCTCTTCTGTAGTAGCTCCTTCTTTTCCATAGCTAATATTCTCAGCAATTGTAGTGTCAAACAGTACAGGCTCCTGTGATACTACACCAATGTTACTCCTCAACCACTTCAAATTGAGCTCCTTAATATCATAACCACCAACAGTAATCTATTATAGAGACACATAAAATAATTACTGATAAAATAATATGACTCACTTGTCCACCCAAAGGATTATAAAATCTTTGTATCAGTGATATGACTGTGCTCTTACCAGATCCGCTGGATCCAACCAGTGCTACAGTCTGTCCAACATCAACCTGTAGGTCCAGACCAGTCAGTACTGGTACATCAGGTCTTGCTGGATATCTAAACACGACGTCTTTAAATGTAATGGACGGCTTGAAATCATCAGGTTTGAGTCCTTCGTCTGAATCAGAATTAATAGGAGGCTCCTAGATGTAATAGTAAGATAAATAGCATTTTAAAACTTAACCCACTCTATCAATAATTTCAAATATTTCTCCAGCTGCTCCTGTGGCATTCACTACACTCTCAATGCTAGGAGTGGCCTGACCCAGTGAGAGTGATCCCACTAGTATAGCATAGAACACTGCCAGCATATCACCGGCTAGGAGGATCTCCACTGATATCAGATACCCACCAAACCTGTTGAGACAAAATGCCATAAAACACATATCATATGTAACACATACATGCAGAACAATTACTTGCATGTAAATGTACATGTACATGTACATTTACATACACAATGTAAGTATAGTATGCCAAACTCTGAACAGTTGAATTAAAAATGTATGTAGTAAAATGTAGTATGAGTTTTCCAAAATTGTCTCAGAAACACGATAATATGCTCTGATTCAAATAAATGTTTAAATCAATTGCAGCATTTTTAGAGTCATTTCCAGTTGCATTTTGAGCTTATCACGACTTGAAAAATGGCTCAAATTACACGTATAATTAAGAAATTATTTTTTTTAATTGACAAAAGCTCACCAGAAAGCAACAGCATAAATGATAAACACAATGATATAGAATGAGCCGAGACTGGCACCAACTGCTGCTCCTTTCTTACCACCAACTTTCCTAGCATCCTCCAACTGAGACTCGTATCTACGAGAGAGAGAAAGAAGAGAGAGAGAGAGAGAGAGAGAGAGAAAAGTACTACACATAAATAAAAAAATTTAAGGCTTATATCCTCGTATTTCCATTGAATTCATTCAGCAAAATACAATGCATGTACATGTACTTACATGTATACAGGCACTGCAGTATGTATAGGGAGAAACCATGTTTATGTAACCTCACTGATGTGGTTAATGAATTTAAAATTGTGGGGCGCTGCGCACTACATCATTGTCTTTCTCTGTTCTTACATGTACGTACAGTGAGGACTGTTTCACTCTTCTATTTCTAAAATCTACTGCTGAGAAATGGCTGCTGTCAGTCTACTTGTTACCATCATCTTGTTTGCTGTTGGAACAGAGTCTTTCCCTTTGATGAATTTGTATGGCTATGTACATAGTCAGTTTGGTACTCATTTGTATACATACAATACATCAATAATTGGATATGCTGTTCGTGATAGAATAGGCCAAAATAGCTACAGATCAGAAGGAATTGTTTGTCTTTTGGACTCAGATGGATCTGGTAAGAATCATAATTTATTCTTCTTTTTTTATTTAATGCAGCAGGGCAACCTTTCCATCATTACGGTAAAAAAAACTCGCTTGAAAATTTGTACACAACCAATACAAGTGAAGTTATTGGAAAGGCCTATGAACATAAAGGAATTGTTGGGTATTGTTATTCAGAACAACAGCTACACACAGTTCCTCTTTATCGATACAAGAAAACTGTGCGACTAGGTTTCGTTGATCACTATTACACAACAGATCCTAATAAGATTGGCCTCGTGACTCCTGGCACTACTGGAAACAATGGATACACTTTTGAAGGAGTTGCCTGCTTTGTGTACGATGTGAAGTATCATTAAAACTACATGTATGCACACATACTTAAATGCATGATGATAGTAGGCTAGTTTGAATAAGTATTATTATGACAATTTTCATTGAATTTATTCAACATTATTATACAGGCACTAGGGTAAAACCACCATGTTTATGTAACCTCACTGATGTGGTTAATGAATTTAAAATTGCAGGGCGCTGCGCACTACATCATTGTCTCACATACAGTGTGAGCTGTTTCACTCTTCTATTTCTAAAATCTACTGCTGAGAAATGGCTGCTGTCAGTCTACTTGCTACCATCATTTTGTTTGCTGTTGGAATAGAGTCTTTCCCTTTAATGAATTTGTATGGCTATGTACACAAAGATTTTAATACTCATTTTTATACATACAATGCATCTATAATTGGATATATTGTTCGTGGGAGAATAGGCATAAATGGCTACAAATCAGAAGGAATTATTTGTCTTTTGGACTCAGGTGGTTCTGGTAAGCAACTAATTTATTATATTTTTTTCTATCTTTATTTACATGTACTTGGTCTACAGGAAAACCATTCCACCATTATGAAAATAGAGACAGTACGTTTGAAAATTTGTACACAATCAATACGAGTGAAGTTATTGGAAAGGACTATGTATATAAAGGAATTGTTGGGTATTGTTATCCAAAACAACAGCCACACACTGTTCCTCTTTATCGATACAAGAAAAATATAGAAGTACTTATACATGGATCCAGAGTACAAATCATCGATCATTATTATACAACGGATCCTAATAAGATTGGTATTGTAACTCCTGGCACTACTGGAAACAATGGATATATTTATGAAGGGATTGCTTGCTTTGTGTATAATGTCAAGTATCCTTAAAACTATGTTTGTAATTCATGTGATTTTTTGGGTTTTGATAATTTTTGGTTTTTCCTGCAAAAAAACTACTCCCATTGAGTTATACACGTGATACATGATAGCTGTGCTGCATTATGCAAATACATGTACATGTATGTACATGTATATGGTGTCTGGTATAGAAATAATTATGATTTCACTGTTATAAAAATGATTGCAATAAACATTGGAGTACATCATTACTATTATTACTTCCCTTGTCTCTTAAAATCCACCCCTAAAGGCATACCTTAAATGCATAGATAGCAAGAGTGGAGTTATTGTACAAGAAGAGTATGTAAAAAGCATGTGGCAACTGGCATGCTTTGAATTTCCAGATAAAACTGGGATGAAATATACACACATAGATTAAGCAGCTTAAAGTACAGGGTTCACTAATCTCTCTCCTCATTCATTACCTGTCCACTTCTTTATATTCTCCTCCAAAGGCTACTACAGTTCTAACTGATGATAGGACCTCTTCAGCAATAGCACCTGCACCAGCATATAACTTCTGCTCTTGACTTGTAAACGAAGCAGCAACCTTAATATTGGAGGCATTACATTTCACAACAATCAACAAAATAATTTGTGAGCTCTACCTTAACACTTTCCCCTCTGTTCCCCTCCTCTCTCCCTCCCTCCCTCCCCCCTCTCTCTCTCCTCTCTCTCCCTCTCTCTCTCTCCCTCCCTCTCTCTCTGCTTACTCTATAAAAGATAATGCCAGCTACTGCCATGAATGGAGTGATGAATGTCAGTAGTAAGGCAAGTTGCCATCCTCTTATAAACCCAACCACAAACCCAGCAAAGAATGTGGTCAGCCACTGAATGAGTGTTGCAAACTTATCCCCAATACCATCGCTGAACTTGTCAACATTTCTAGACAAAGGGGAGGGAAGGAGGTGATAATACTATTAATAAGAGAGTTATGTTGTACATGTAAAGGTCCATCAAGTACATGTGAAATGAATGAAAAGAGAAGGTTTTAAACCCTCAAGAACTGAACTGACAAATTGTTGACATATTAAGCCCACCATCCACTATTTAACTTTGTTGAAAGCAACTTTGTGGGTTACTTTGATGTGCTGTCAGCTCTGTTGCCTGAAATAGAACTGACGGGGCAACAGAGTTGCCATAAGATCAAAGTAACCACAAAATTGCTTTTAACAAAGTTGAATAGTGGATGGTGGGCTTTACACATGACACAGCTATAGTACATCTACTCCTTGTAATTTCTTGATATGCATTGAAATGTAGGACAATAAGTGTTAGCCACACTGAATGCACAGTTTAGAATATCTACATGCATGCTGCAATGTGGTCTACACACAGCTGAAAGGATACAATTAAATTAGTCTGAAGGTGAAGCCAAGAGCAATAATAGATCATGGTTGATTATGCAATAAAGTGTAGGTAATTCAATTAAGTAGATATTCAGCTCACTCTTGTTGTAGTACGGCTAACTCCCCCACATCATTGCAGTCAAACCAGCCAATGTCTTGCTTTAAGAAAGAAGAGTACAGCTTCACCCTTACTCTATACACTTGTCTCTCTGATGCAAGTTTCATCGTCATCGTCTGAATGCTACCCAGTATAAAAGAGCCGCCACTAATAATCAGAAACAGATATATGACCCATAAGATACCGTCGATCCCTCCTCGTCCAAAAAAGAAGGTATCGTTTGAATAACAAACCGCCTCTTGACTGAAACTGGTGAACTGGCTCTGGACGCAGCGACAAGTATCCGTCGTAACAAGAAGGGTGTACTCGGAATTGGTTGCTAGCTCTCGAAGGACTTTAAAATTAGTATCTAGCCCATCAATGGCTTCACTTGAGTAGTTAGAAATCAAACAGCCAAGCCAGCTTAATTCATCAAATGTTGTCGTGTTACTATTAGAGATTGCGTTAAATGCTAAGACGGTTAGAGTTGTGATATTTGTGTCTGTCGCAAGAATATTAGGTGTGATGGTTAAGGTAGCAATGGCAGACGTAACGTTAGGAAGACTCCCGTTCTCGACAAACATAAAGTTTCCATAAATGCTAGAGATATTTGTTTGGATTTCTGAAAAGACTTGACGCGAGATGTCGTGATTGAAGAAGAGGTTGGTGAGGTCCCCAAACACGTACATGGCGCCAGGGAGAGCACAGCCATGAAGGATGGCAGATATGATGCTGATTGATATCAGGAGCCAATCAAAGGCTGTCGCAAAACGAAACTAAAGGGGAAAAGGAGTAAAATAAGTGGGAGAAAGTCAAATGACACAAAGTTGGTATGTATAAAATAAAACTCAACTAATTTGTGAACAGGGACAGGTTTCACACCTTCCTCGCTTTCCTTCTCTGTCTCCCTATAGCACAACAAGGTGGGTCAAAGAGGGTATATATATACTAAAGTTAAGTCCTCACTTTGTTGTGGGGGGTGTCGGTTCAGCCATAGCAGGGCTAGTCTTGTCATCAATCTCGAAGCTAATCTCCTCAGCCTTCGCTTCTTCTTCAGTAGGAGGATCATCATGAGAGGCTTCAGGTTGATCCTCGGGCTTATTAAAAGCAACACGAACAGTGCCAGGGTCTTCCTTTGAGACAGAAATGCTGGCGGAGCTTTCTTGCAAATCAGCCATGATTGAAAAAAATAAATGGCGGATGATTGCCCGCAAAGCAATATAGGCGTGGGCGGATAATTAATTAAATACATGCATATCAATTAATTTTCATTTTACGAGTCCTCACTTGTTGACACTACTGACCTGTCAGTCTCGAATTCTCAGTCCTCCATAGATCATTGCTGTATTCTAGATTCCTAAAAAACGCACAATCAGTGGGTTCTCTCTCCCTCTCACCTCATACGTCATGATAACGCAGAAACAATACACAGAACCGAGTAGGAAAAGAAGGACTGGGCTCTGCCTTCCTCCATTAGAGAACTGTCAAAAGATTTGTTGTAAAAAGCAAAGAGGGATGCTTAGAAAGAGGTTACAATGCTCAATTATACTGCTAGAGATCTAATGCTTGCATTCTGCAGCAGCAGCTAGATCTATAATCACCTGCTATATGTATATATACATTATCTCAGTCTTTTTTTTACTTGTAGTAAACACAGGGCTTCATCATGCAAGAAGTCAATAGCTCAGTGGGAACCTTCCTATGTCTCTACATACTCTGATGACTTCAATGCTAAACTAGCTCCAATTAGAATGAAGGTTAGACCTAAGCTGAAAGTGGAGAGTGTACATGCAGAATGATGACTGAGATACCTCAATGTGAATGTATTGAAGGATGCTGCTGCATGCAATCCTTCAGCCAAAGGATATTTTATTGAAAAGTATATTAGATCTACCAGATACACTGATAGATGACACAACTTCATAAAAAACAGGAGGATGCCATAATTTTTTCAAATCAGGGTGACACCCAGCAAGTTGACAACGGTTACAATTATTAAGTTAATATTCGCGCTATTATTATAATGACAGCTTAATTGATGCCAAATATTTCTTGCCAAACTCCAGTATGGTTTTTACATGTATGCACATGTAGGTTGTGATAACAAAAGAAACAGACTCACATCTTTCTATTGGTGGCCTAGTCCCTAACGTGACACCAGAGCCAGCTCTGCTACGTCACATGCACTTCCAATCAAACTACAACAATACCTATCAGGGAAGAAAGAAAGACACCAAAACTATGAACACAATAGTAGAGGAGATAGAAGAAGAAGATAATGGAAAAGAGCCTGAAAATAGCCAAAAGGGAGGTGGAGGGAAGAAAAAGGAGGATGAGGCCAGATATTCTCTCCCAAAAGTGTTTGATAGCACAAAGACACAGCCAAGAATCCTGTCCATATTTCAGCAGGACTATCAGGTTCCATATCTGACAGAAAATCTAAAGCCTCCTTCAAAGAGACGTCCAGTTGATTGCTACAGACCATGTGAGTATTTTATGATTATACATTTAAACTATGATTTGTACACTCCTCTTCCCTACATCTTCTCTCTCTTTCTCTCGTTATTTTCTCAGTGCCTTTGGTTTCTCAAGGATATGTGATGCAGACTTCTTATGACAGGGACTATGGGAGGATTAAGCTACCAGAGCTGGAGTTTGTCTCACCAAATGGTAAGGCCACTGAAGGAAAATATCTGAGTCTCTTCTTCTAAGTTGCATGTGCTTATTCTCATTTTGTTCTTCCTTTTCAGGTAAGCTGCAAAGAGATAAGAATAAAGTCCAATTCAAGGACAGTTATTGCATTTAACGTGCCGATTTCAATTGTCAAAACTATTACTGTGTACTTTAACAATAAATAGATTATTTCACATTAATTTTACCTTAAAAATTACAAAAACAATTTATTTAAAAGTTTTCTTAAGTTGTGTCAGTCTGTCACTGTCAGATTCCACTGTTGCTTGAAGCTTTGAGAACAAATCTTGAAGCTATAAAAGACAAGTCAAATTACACATTATTTGTTGCATAAATATATTTTAGTTCCAATTATTAATTTTAAGTTTTTTTTGCAAAAATATCTCCTCAAGGTGATGACCACCTATGACATGAAAACTTTGATTTAAATGTATGTTCATGTAGGTAATAAGTTTTATAAAAGGAATAGTGAAATTTTAATTTTTAAATTAGCGACTTTGATTGCTCATTCTTATGTAGGTTATTTTACATGTAGCACAGTAGAGTATCCTTGCATTGAGGTACTATGGTAGTACACTTTATAGTATCAGTGCAATATGAAAGCCAACTAGTCACTATAACTTGGACTGACACCTCAACCATAAAATAATGCATGGTGACAGAATCAGGTGATGCTAATAAAATCTGATTGGTCAGGTAGCTTATTTGCTAATGAATAATAATAAGCTAAATGCTCTAGTATATAAGGAGGCAAAAATAGCATTGAATCACTTTTGAATATCTTGTGGAAAGACAAAAGAATCTCAACAAAAAACTCTATCAAGAAAAGGAATCATGAAAACTTTGCTCTCACTCTTCTGTCTGGTTACTTACCTGACCTGTGCTCTGAGGTATGTTAAAACATTACTGCATAAAAATTATCCTTTCTCTTATTGTACATGCAGTGCTAATGTAAATATTGAAAGCTGTACAGGTGCTACTTTAGTTGGTGAGGGAGAAGACTCTGACACAATTGTGGCTCATAGGAGGCTTTGTGCTGGCATTGATAAAGCTATAGCTAATATTGGTGACAATGAAGACTTTGTGACCTGGCTGGGTGAATATACTCCAGAAAGAGCTGATAAGGTCAAAGATTCATTCAAGGCTATAAAAGACGCCTTGAATCAAAATCAAATTGAATATCTTGGAAACTTTAAGGGTTGTACTAATGGAGAAGCAGCTGATCCAGTCAAAGGTCGGCCCATGCTCGGTCTCTGTGAGCCTTATTACGGATTCCAGCTTGACTGCAGTGGGACTGTGGAGTCTAAGGAATTCACACTGATCACCTTTTGGGATTACGCTTATGGTGGGGGTCGATATGGAGGTCCGGGAAGTGGCGAAAAAGATCCTGAAATCTTCAAAATGATAGCAAGGGACCATCCTAATATTGCTATCATAGATTACTACAACATCGGGTTCTTTTACTGCGCCTCTCAGAAATAAGCCAAGAACTCATAGAAATAAGCCAAGAACTATGATATAGCTTATTTTGCTATACTTAATTGTACATTTTTGCTTATTATCTTGGCTTATGATAATAATAATAATAATAATAATAATAATAATAATAATAATAAAACTATTATTCAACATGAGAGAGCTAGGGAGGAAGGAATGTCTAATTTTTCTTGCAGCTGAATGGGCAATAAATAATGATTTGAAAATCAATTATAGGCCGTTTGTGTACATACATGTACAATGATACCTCAGGTCAGCCTCCTATACTTATCAGTCCTCAATACAGATAGGGATGTCCTTATTTCAGAGGTATTTCAGTACTAATATTAAATGTTGTCCTTAGTATATAGAAGTACCATGCAGAGTGAATGTTACTTTGCCGTCTAGTATAGACATTTATTTTATTTATTTCCTGTTCAAACAGAATCAATCATCCCCCATGCATTGAATGAATAAAATGGCAAATACATTGTAACTCAAATTACTTGATCTTTTACCACAGTATCAGAATAAAAACTGATGAACAATAAATTGCTTCTTTTCAATGATTTACAAATCTAATATTATTGGGTCCTATTTTGTTTTACCATTATCATCTTGCACTAAATTATTAAATATTTTGCTCTGCAAGGTTAGAATGTCCTTGTATTGAGGTACTATGGTAGTACACTTTATAGTGTCAGTGCAATATGAAAGCCAACTAGTCACTATAACTTGGACTGACACCTCAAACGTAGAGTAATACTGAGGTGTCAGTCCAAGTTATAGTGACTAGTTGGCTTTGACAGAATAAGGTGATATTAATACTGATGTCCTTATCACAGAGGCACATGTACTTCAGTACTAATATTAAAAGTGTCCTAGTATATAGAGGTGTCATGCAGAGTAAATGTCACTTTACTGTCTAATATAGACATTTAGTTCTCTGCTATTCAAACAGGATGAATGAAATGGCAAATACTCAAAACTCACTCTTGCTTTTTCTTTATTTACAAATCTAATATTATCGAGTTACCATTATCATCATGAACTAAATCATTAAATATTTTGCTCTGCAAGAAGGTTAGAGTGTCCTTGTATTGAGGTGCTGTGGTAGTACACTTTATAGTGTCAGTGCAATATGAAAGCCAACTAGTCACTATAACTTGGACTGACACCTCAAATGTAGAGTAATGCATAGTAACTCACCATTATGCATTACTCTATGTTTAAGGTGTCAGTCCAAGTTATAGTGACTAGTTGGCTTTGACAGAATGAGGTGATATTAATACTGATGTCCTTACCACAGAGGCACATGTACTTCAGTACTAATATTGAAAGTGTCCTAGTATATAGAGGTATCATGCAGAGTGAATGTCACTTTACTGTCTAATATAGACATTTAGTTCTCTGCTATTCAAACAGGATGAATAAAATGGCAAATACTCAAAACTCAATCTTGCTTTTTCTTTATTTATTTCTTTATTTTTTTTCTTTATTTTCTTTATTAAAATTGCTTCTTTTCAATGATTTACAAATCTAATATTATTGGGTCCTATTTTATTTTACCATTATCATATTGAACTAAATCATTAAATATTTTGCTCTGCAAGAAGGTTAGAATGTCCTTGTATTGAGGTACTGTGGTAGTACACTTTATAGTATCAGTGCAGTATGAAAGCCAACTAGTCACTATAACTTGGACTGACACCTCAAATGTAGAGTAATGCATAGTAACTCACGATTATGCATTACTCTATGTTTAAGGTGTCAATCCAAGTTATAGTGACTAGTTGGCTTTGACAGAATGAGGTGATATTAATACTGATGTCCTTATTACAGAGGCACATATACTTCAGTACTAATATTGAAAGTGTCCTGGTATAGAGGTGTCATGCAGAGTGAATGTCACTTTCCCATCTAATATAGACATTTAGTTCTCTGCTATTCAAACAAGATGAATAAAATGGCAAATACTCAAAACTCACTCTTGCTTTTTCTTTATTTACAAATCTAATATTATCAAGTCCTATTTTATTTTACCATTACCATCTTGAACTAAATCATTAAATATTTTGCTCTGCAAGAAGGTTAAGATGTCCTTGTATTGAGGTACTATGGTAGTACACTTTATAGTGTAAGTGCAATATGAAAGCCAACTAGTCACTATAACTTGGACTGACACCTCAAACGTAGAGTAATGTATAGTGAGTTACTGAGGTGTCAGTCCAAGTTATAGTGCCTAGTTGGCTTTCATATTAGCAACAGAATCAGGTGATGCTAATAAATCTGATTGTTCAGATAGCTTAATTGCTCATAAAATATTAATGAGCTACATCCTCCAGTATATAAGTTATAACGAGGTGAAAAATAGCATTGAATCATTTTTGAATATCTTGTGAAAAGACGATATAATCAAAAAAGGAAAGGAATCACGAAGACTCTTCTACTTTCATTCTTCTGTTTGGTTACTTACTTGACCTGTACTCTGAGGTATGTTAAAACATTACAGCATAAAATTACTTTCTCTCTTATACATGCAGTGCTAATGTTAATATTCAAAGCTGTACAGATGCTAAGTTCTATCATGGTGATAATCAAAACAAAGAAACACTTGCAGCTAATAGGAGGCTTTGTGCTGGTATTGCTAAAGCTATAGCTAATATCAGTGACAATGAAGACTACGTGACCTGGCTGGGTGAATATACTCCGGAGAGAGCTGCTAAGGTTAAGGATTCATTAACAAATATAAAAGATTCTTTGAATGAAAAAGATGTTGGCTATGTCAATAATCATCACCCCTGCCATGGAGAAGCAGCTGCAGCAAGAGTAAATTATCTGAGGCTTTTTCTCTGTGAGCCTTATTACGGATACCAGCTTGACTGTAGTGGGACTGTGGAGTCTAAGGAATTCACACTGATCAGCTTTTGGGATAAAGCCTATGGTGGAGGAATATTTGGAGCTGCTGGGGACGGCCGAAAAGATCCTGAATTTTTCAAAGCTCTAGCCAAGCAACATCCTGATTATGCCATTGAGAACTATTACAGCATTGGGTTCTTTTACTGTGCCTCTCAGAAATGATCAGGATGCTTCTAAAGCCAAGAACTGTAGGACTCATGCAACACTATAGGACATGCACAGTTTATTTTGCTACTTTATTTCACATTTTTGGTAGTTAATTATCTTGGCTTAATAATAATAATTATATTCAACAAGAGAAAGCTACTGTACATGCATTGTTATAGGGAGGGAGAGATTAGGTGTAATTTTGGTAAAAAAAAATCCTGTACAAAGTTGGCAAGCCAACTAGTCACTATAACTTGGACTGACATCTCAACCATACAGTAATTAATGCATAGTCAATACTCTATGGTTGAGGTGTCAGTCCAAGTTATAGTGACTAGTTGGCTTTGACAGAATGAGTTGATATTAAATTATTAATACTGATGTCCCTATTACAGAGGCACATGTATTTCAGTACTAATATTGAAAGTGTCCTGGTACTGAAAAGCATGCTAAGTGAGCATAAACTGACAGCAATACAATGATACATACATGTACATGGCTTTTGGAGCAACTTTAAAAATTTATGAAAAAATCCAATTTTGTTTGGAATCTGTCAGTTCAAACTTTCCACATAGCATAAGTAGATGTATAGGTATGATCTGAAAAATTATAAAAATAAAACTCTCTCCTAGCTATTTTGTACTATATAGTACAGGATGCTATGTCAAACTCTGGAGCAATTTTAAACAAGATGCTGAGAACTACGCCAAAGCCTGTACAAAACCCTGGGTTGATTGCTAATAGATTATCAATAGATACATATACTCTAGATGATGGTGCTCACCCAATGTAGTGATATTGTGTTACTTACTGATGATTTTTCTGTCTTGCTCAACATGAGGAGTGAGAGTGAAAAACGAGGATACTCCGAAAGGTTTGATAAAATGTCTTCAATCTGAGCTACATCCCTAACCTCAAAGTGCTATGCATAGTTAAAAAAGACACTAAGATAATAATAATAATTTCAATTAACTAATTCGTCTAACAATGAAGCCACACTAAATAAAATAATGAAAAGATGTAGTATATCACTTACTTCATTTAAAACTTTAATAATGTCACCAATAAGAGTACCACTATTACACATAATAGGTTAAAAATGTTGCATATACATGTACATGTACATTACCTTGTCTCAGCTCTCAATAAATGAGGAAGGGACTCCTTTGGTAGGCTGATCAGTAATCTAATAATAGTAACATCTAATAATAGTAACATACCATACAAGGCAATAAAAAGCAAATCTTCTATCCCTTAACTAGTTTATATCTACATGTACATGTACATGACAGTATGACTACATACAGGTTTTCCCCACAGGATTTTGGCATAGTGCTTGACCTTCAGTAAATTTTTAAAGTTACTCAAAATCAGGTCAAAATCTCTGTACTATAGTACAGGGACTGAATAAATCCAAAAAAATTTAAACTACAGTATATATAGCCTCCCCATCAGTAGTAGTCCTCACTTGTATTGATCGAGTGTTCTTCCTTTTCTCTGTCTCCATTCACGAGCTAGTTCCTGTGGGCTGGTCGGGTGATGACACTCTCCTAATCCACCTCCATCAGGTGACTCACCACTGGCCACTAATGCCACTGGATTCCAAGGTTGCTGACAAGATGAGCCTATGATATCCTCTCGATCCAAGGCTTTGATATGAGAGGCTTTGACTATATCTCTAAATATAAGGAGGAGTGGCTCGATTTTCGCAAATTTGCATGATAAGAGCTTGTTATTTTTTAAATTATTTTCTATGGTGCTGTTTCTTAGCTGCAATACCTGAATTCTTCATAAGTTCCAACTCTTTGGTGAATGGCTCTAAATTTGGCGTCATTTTCTCTCTGATATCTCCTGTCTGCTTCCAAAGCAGAAGCCATTTCCCTCTCTAAAGAGCTGACATTAATATCCGCCATCTTTAAAACAAACCCCACCTAAAACCACGCCCATAAATGTAACCACGCCTATAAACAAAATGGCGTCTTTGAATTATTTATCTCTTCTTCAAAACTCCCTACGCAGCCTCAGAATTCAAAGAGAGGCTTGTATATCTTTGACGAATACGTCCATATATCGTTTTAAGTCCACCCTGTCCTCGGATCAGCGTGATCTGATAGCCAACGGGCCCAGTCTTGATGATTTTGTGAGTGGTAACGCTCCCAGCACTCCAGAAGAGCTTAAGAGGAAAAAGAGACAGCGTCTCCCTTTACCAAACTGGCTGAGAACTGAAGTTCCCAAAGGAAAGAACTTTCATCGCCTCAAGGAGGATCTGCGTCGACTAAAGCTTCACACAGTGAGATATTAAAACAATTATTTTGTTCCTTGTGTTGACCACACCTCTTTGCACACCCATTTATGTGTTTAGGTATGTGAAGAGGCTCGTTGTCCTAATATTGGAGAATGTTGGGGAGGAGGGGAGCATCAAACGGCCACAGCAACAATAATGGTAATGAAATAATAATAATTGTACATGTACATGTATGTGAGATTTGTTTTTTAGCTGTTTTTTAAAAGCATAGACTATAGCCCATGGTTTTTTCCAAAAAATGGCTCCGAAATCATCCCCAGTTTTTATTACATTTTCTGATACATATTGATGTCCTTATGCTGTGTAAAAAGTTTGAGCCGATTCCGACTTCAAATTTTTGAGTTATGGCCATTTTAGAAAATTGGCTGTTTTTTTTGAAAAAATCCCTGTACTATAGCCCATAGTTTTTTCCAAAAAATGGCTCCGAAATTACCTCCTATTTTTATTACATTTTCTGATACATATTGATATCCTTATGCTGTGTAAAAAGTTTGAGCCGATTCCGACTTCAAATTTTTGAATTATGGCCATTTTAGAAAATTGGCTGTTTTCCGAAAAAATCCGTGTACTATAGCCCATGGTTTTTTCCAAAAAATGGCTCCGAAATTACCCCCAATTTTTATTGCATTTCCTGATGCATATTGATGTCCTTATGTTGTGTAAAAAGTTTGAGCCGATTCCGACTTCAAATTTTTGAGTTATGGCCATTTTAGAAAATTGGCTGTTTTCCGAAAAAATCCCTGTACTATAGCCCATAGTTTTTTCCAAAAAATGGCTCCGAAATTACCCCCAGTTTTTATTACATTTTCTGATACATATTGATGTACTTATGCTATGTAGAAAGTTTGAGTCAATTCCGACTTCAAATTTTCAAGTTATGGTCATTTTAAAAATAAGCCATTTTTTGAAAAAAAATCCCTGGGCTATAGCCCATGGTTTTTTCCAAAAAATGGCTCCGAAATCACCCCCAGTTTTTATTACATTTTCTGATACATATTGATCAGGGATGGGGCAAGCACTTGAGTGCTTGTGCTTAAAAGTGCTCTAAGCACTTTTCTTCAAGTGCTTGCAATGCTTTCAAGCACTTAGTCTCATTAAAGCACAAATGCTTGTGCTTGTGCTTCAGCACTTTGCTTTGATAGTGCTTATAAGCACATTTTAAAGCATTAAGCACTATTTTGAGTTCATAACACAAAGAGTACATAAAGTCTACGTTATTCTAATCTATCACGTGACTATAAAAATACAGCTTTGTAGTAAATGTAGTTAGTTAGCATCAACACCAATTAAGAGGTTGTTTGGCTTAGCAAAAAAGATCTTCAGATGAGGAATCAACGTATTTATTAGTAAAACTTTATATACATTTCTATTACAGAAATGCTTGAAATAGTGCTTGAAGCACTTTTAAAAGTGCTTGTGCTTGTGCTTAAGCACTTTAATCACAGAAGCCCTTAAAAAATGGTTATGCTTTAAGCACTTTTCAAAGTGCTTGTGCTTGTGCTTAAGCATTTGGGTCAGTGCTTGACCCCAACCCTGATATTGATGTACTTATGCTGTGTAGAAAGTTTGAGCTGATTCCGACTTCAAATTTTTGAGTTATGGCCATTTTTAATAGTAATAAGATACATGTACATGTATAATGATTACAAAATTTACAGTCTTTTTGTAATTTTTGCTGTGTATGTTATTAGGTACTTGGTGATCAGTGCACTCGTGGGTGTAGGTTCTGTTCTGTAAAGACTTCAAAAGCTCCTCCTCCTCCTGATCCAAATGAACCGGTCAACACAGCAGCTGCCATCGCCTCATGGGGACTGGACTATGTAGTACTGACTTCTGTTGATAGAGACGGTGAGGGAGGAAGAGAGGGAAAGAGAGAGGGAAGAAAATTAGAGAATTAGTTAATGTGCATGTATGTACATGTGCATGGGTCTTTGTTTTACATATACGCATATCTTTTTACTTTAAATGTATATGTATTTTATGTAGACATGCCTGATGGAGGTGCAGAGCATTTTGCTGAAACTGTTCGTCAAATTAAAAAGAGGTTAGCTATATGTTTTAATTGACCTGCAGATTCAGCTCCTATTTCTTGTTTTTTTAGAAACTCGTCAATTCTAGTCGAGTGCCTCACTCCTGACTTCAGAGGTGATTTGAAAGGAGTTGAAACTGTTGCTCTCTCTGGACTTGATGTGTATGCTCACAACATTGAGACTGTACAGGAACTCCAATGGTAACTAAACCACACCCACTCATTCCAGCTGGTTCAATAACTATGCATGTATAGACTACTGTAAATCTATTAATAATTGCTATCCATTTTTGATTATTATTTTTATGATTGTCAATGTGCAATCGGTTACCTTAGTTGTAAAAAAGGTTGTTAAATTATTTGGGTTTGCAGTATCATAATTTTAAACAGTTAGGGTTTTACATTATTCCTTACTCTTCTAAGGTTGGTTCGTGATCCTCGTGCTAACTACAAGCAGAGTCTTTCTGTCCTGGAACATGCTAAGACTGTTAAGAGTGACCTCGTGACCAAGAGCTCTATAATGCTAGGAATGGGTGAGACTGACTCTCAAGTACTCCAAGCACTAAAAGGTGATCATTATAACTGTATAATGTTCAAGAAACATTTTAAGTGACTGTTATAAGAGTTACCATTAATTATTTTCTCTATTGTAATGTGTAGATCTTCAAAGTTCTGGTGTTGAGTGTGTTACATTAGGACAATACATGCAGCCAACGAAATGGCATTTGAAAGTAAGAACCCTTACTCCAGCAATCTTGTGTGAATACATGTACATACTTGTACATAATATACCCACATACAATGTATGTACATTATAGGTAAAGGAGTATGTGACGCCTGAAAAGTTTAAGTTCTGGGAGACGGTTGGTAACAAGATGGGTTTCCTCTACACTGCCAGTGGTCCTCTGGTTAGGTCCTCTTATAAAGCCGGAGAGTTCTTTCTAAAGACAGTACTGAGGGAGAGGCAAGGCAAAACAGCAGCTGATAATGTGCAGTGACTTTAAATGAAATATTTTATTTTTTAATGCAATCTGGTACACAGCATTCTTTCTATTTCATTCATAATAATTATTATTATTATTACTGGTTATTCAATGATTGTATCATTATTATGCATTGTAGTTATGTGTACATAGTATTATGTATTATTATTATTATTATTGTTATTATTATTGTATTATTTATTGTTAACTGCTGATGTATGTTAGCCTTTGAATGGAATCCTAAATAAAAGAATAAAATTTAATATTTACAGTAGATACCATGCATACATGTACATGTACATGTATGTGTACATGTACAATATACACCCTGTACCTTTGGTCTTGATCCATTTCTTGTGGTGGATATTTTAGCTGGTGGTAAATGGTAAGGTATCTTAAGGTCAGCCTCTTGTTTGAGTAGCTGAGAGACAGTTAGTGTCTGTTGTCTGTGGTATGGGGCTGGCTTTGGGACTGGAAGAGGCCTCCTTATATCAAATTGCTAGAAAGAGAGAGAGAGAGGGAAAGCATTTAATTGTACATTAATATGTTCATGTACTGTACATAGTACGGTACATTATGCACATCATGATGTACATGTACATGTATATTATCTACATGTACATGTACATTTACATAAAAGTTTTCTTTATTTCAATTACTTTTGATGTTATGTCTGAAGTTTGTTTTGTTTGCCCACCGATTATGGTACGACTGATCGGATCACGAATGGGCTGTCCTACTTGCCCACTTTCTACCCAAGTAGCTGTTGATAACTATAACGATTAAAATAATAATTAAAAGAGAAGAGATTAGTGATTTCTTACTGCTTCATTGTTTTCTTTAATGACCTCAAGTGGTGGAGGATAGAGAGAGGGAGGAGGAGGGGGAAGAGGGGGAGAGAGAGAAGAGGTGAGAGAGAGTTGATGGTTACATGAATTTGTGGATCTCTCTATTACTTCTTTCTTCTTATTTTCAAAATTACCAAAAACATCAACTAACAATTTCCCATCGTCTGCCTTTAGCGGTGCTCCTCCTCCAGACTTACCCCATGGAGAATAAGCTAAAAATAGTAACAAAGCATTAAAATATAGGGCATTTAAAAAATATATACAAATACCATTACTATCAATATTTGGTTCTTTGTTTCTTCTTTCTCTCATTCTCACTCTTTTTTCTCCAAGTCCATTGAGCCAAGCTCCTACATCTTTCTCTTCTTCCCTTCTCTTCTCCACCAACAGCTTTCCACTGTTGTTTCTCTTAGGGTAGCTATTGCCCCATGGGAAGTAAGGCTCAAATGTCTAATAGAGAAAGAAGAGGTAACAGCACTATTATTGGTCTTCTCCTGTATGTACTGGTTTCACAAAGCCACTTGGTTTATCTTCTATTATCTGTTGCTCTATTCATGTATAATATAAAATGAGATTCAATCTACACTGTACATTAAATTTTTGAGATTTATTAGACATAAATGTACAAGTATTGCTCTAAAATTGTGCATGAAATTGTATTTACCAAGTCTTCTAGCATATCTTGCTTTCTCCTCTTGCTCTTTCTGTAGCATCTCCTTCTCAAGCTCACTCCTTTCTCTTTTCAATTGCTGTGGAGGCTCCATATTTTGGCTTGGTTTATACCTCTGTATAAGGGCAAAGTATTTTTTAGCAGGCAATAATAAATTGTTAGCGTTCGTTAGCAACTTTCGCATAAAATAATGTTATTCATTAGTAGCTGGAAGGTTTTGAATGCTTTAGTGATAAAAGCAAGGAATTTGCTCCAATCTCAAGTATATGCATGTACATGTACAAGTACTTACGAGTGATTGATCTATCTCTTTCTTTAATTGTTTCTGAAATCTCGTGTCAGGATCAGCAACAACTGATGCGTCGACATTACCAGAATCGCTGCGTCTTGGAGCCCCGCCTCCAGGCTTACCAAAAGAACTGTAGAAATCGTCTGATGTTTTTAGCTGAGTCGGAGCCAGGAATCTTCTTCGTTGTGCAAGCAATGTCCCTGATCTGGTGACCTGAATTAGCGTAATTTTAGTATCATGTTGTTAATTTTGTTAATTTTTTTCTCTTACTCTTGGAGCTCCACCACCTCCTCCTCCCCAGGGATGATATGTTTTAAGCATTTCTAAATCCTAGAGACATCATTCACATACAGTATGAACTATTCATAATTTATTATTCCAACTTTTCTTTTTTCTTGCATTTCCTTCTCTTTCTCCAATCGTCTTTTCTCCAAGGCTTGTCGCAAGTCTTCATCTATATTGAAGTAACACTTGTACATGTACATGTATAATTATCAGAAAAATTATAGAAGCAGTCATTTACTCTCAAGGTGATACTTACCTGCTGCCTTTTGCTCTTTAATTCTTCTCATCCTTTGCTCATGCAAACTTCATGAAAAAGATATCATGTCTATTTTTATAACTTAACAATAATGTGCTCACTTTTCGTCCTCTTGTATCTTTACTCTCCGAAATCTCTCACCCCCTTCTTCTCCTTCCCCACCAATAGGTCCCTTACTCTCAACGTTGTCCTTGATAATGGCTTCCAGTAGTTTTGTTCGTCTGTGATGACCGAGGTCTCTCTTAGCAGCACCACTCAGTGTGACACGGGACGTGCTCTGTAGCTCGAAGTAACGCTTGTGGAAGCACCTTAAAGGGCGGCTTATTCTACTTTCCCAGTGAGGCTGCCGGTAAGACATGTTCCTTCAGGTTTCATTGCAGTTATTTACCGGCAGTTGGCGGCAGTCACACGTGGAGTGGTCTTGTTGTCATAGCAACATAATGGGCGGGGCTCAGTTTGCACCAAACAGGAGGGTGGGGCTGGTTAGATTTGTATCATGGGAGGCAAAGGCTCCAAGCCTATTAGAAAGACAGCAGGCGAGCCTCATCGAGGAGTACTAGTCCACACACTAAAAGAGCACAAAGACCATGTCCTTTGTGTCCGTTTCTCTCCAGATGGTCGCTACATAGCCTCAGGCTCAGCGGACAAAACCTTAGCAATATGGGAGACACACAATATGAAGCTACTCCAGCACATTAAAGGACACAAAGCTGAAGTGAACGCCATCTCTTTCTCCCCAGACAGCACAATGCTCCTCACCTGCGGTAGGGACAGCAAGGTAGCACTCTGGAACGTGAGGAAAGGAGATAAGATCTATGCAACTCATCTCTATCAGTTTGGCCCTTTCATGAGTTGCTCCTTCTCTCTTGACTCAAGCAAGCTATTTGCAACCTCCAGCGAGAGAGGATGTATTACACTGTGGGATATGAGTGAGCAGAAAGTAAGGATTAAATATACAGTCTGTAAAAGCATTCAGTGTTCAATGATTAATACATGTATTCTCACTGTTTAGCTAGTTATTGTTGCAATAATTGTTTCTTTTTTCTTTAAAAGGTAAAGAAGAGGTTCCTAGAGGGTCATAGCAATGAAGTATTCCAAGTCTCTTTCTCTCCTGACAATATCCACCTTGCATCCTGTGGTAATGATAAGAGGATTATCCTCTGGAACAGGACCTCTGGGAAAATTGTAGAGAAATTGAAAGACAAGTACAGCCCAATATTTGCTTTTTGCTATAACGACAATGGAACAATGATTGCTGCAGTAGTTGAAGGAGAGAGGGTCAAGATATGGAGTACTATCACTAATGAGATTGTGTTTGTGCTTGAGGGACATCACACGTCACCTGTGAGCTCATGCTCCTTCTCACCCGATGGATCCATGCTAGCTACTGTATCTGGGGACAAGACATATGCACTATGGGATGTATCAGATCCTCATGCTCCTCCTGTTTATCATGCAAGGGGACACGAGGGCTGGGTGCAGACTGTTGCATTTTCACCTGATGGGATCTATCTAGCTACAGGAGGGAATGACCACTTAATTAATGTATGGATTTGATATAAGAAAGAAACTGCAAAACATCCAATTTTTTCAGTTATTTATTCATTATGTTGTTATTATTCTTTGTTGCCATAACAATTGATAATTGCGCATTTATGATGACACGTTTTGTTACTAAATATAGGCACTGATGGTATAAAAGGTGGGGCTGATAGCTGGCAGCTAAAGATAAACGTTTGAGACTGTTAAAGTATCATGGCACATACAGCTAGAAAAAAGGATGAAAAGAAAGAGTTCTTTGACCCTCCTGATGTACTAGAAAAGAAAGTGGAGCAACTGGCTCAATGGATCAGAGAGAGCAAACACATGATTGCTTTCACTGTTAGTACTCTTGTCTCCACTAGCCAAATTAGATATTTATATTATTTTATAGGGAGCAGGTATTAGCACAGCAGCTGGAAGTAAGTGCATCTTCTACTTGACAAAAATTTTTTAATTATTTAAAAAATTATAGTTCCAGATTTTCGTAGTGGAATGGACACTAAACTAAGCACAGGTAAGCATCATAAATACTGATAATTCTCATCCTTTTATTCTTCAACAGGCCCGGGTGTGTGGGAGCTTAAAGCTAAAGGAGTTGCAACTCGTGACACAAAACACAAAGTGACTGTAGCAGTCAAAGCATTGCCTACACCAACACACATGATGATAGTGAAACTGCAACAAGTAAGTGAAGTTTATTAAAGTTGAGCCGCTATAATCTTTTTGCTCTTTGTGGGATAACTAATGTGCTGTGTCAACAAATAGAGTTAGAGAAATCTACTATTTTTATATCATTACCATTTTGTTTAATGGTCAAAATGCAATAAAAATGTAGCAAGAATATGCATTGTGTTAATTGGTATTAATAAGGATATTAGTCATTATCTCCTTTTGCTGCAGGAAGGAATATTAAAGTGTTGCATTAGCCAAAACACTGACGGACTTCACAGGAGGAGTGGACTACCTAGAGAAGGTAGTTAGTGATTATTCATAGTCACATGATTGTCATGTGATCCTTGTTACCTCCACATACATACTCATATAGCACTGGCAGAGTTGCATGGTAATACGAATCTTGAAGTATGCAAGAAGTGTGGACGAGAGTATCTGAGGGACTTTCGGGTGAGGAATGCCAAGAGAGTCAAAGACCATCGAACAGGTTATTAAAAATTCATAAAAAATTCAATTTTGATTGGAATCAGTTCAAACTTTTTACGCAACATAAGTACATGTATATGCATCAGAAAACATTATAAAAATCAAAAAAAATTTTTTTGTAATTTTTGACAAAATTTGGCCAGCGACCATGGACTATAACTTTTGCTCGATTTTGAAGAAACTTTAAAAATTCATAAAAAATTTAATTTTGGTTGGAATTAGTTTAAACTTTTTACATGACATAAGAACATGTATATGCATCAGAAAAAATTATAAAAATCAAAAATTTTGACCTTGTCATTTTTGAGAAAATTTGGCCAGCGACCATTATAGTACAGGGACTTTGGCCTGATTTTGGAGAAACTTTAACAATTCATAAAAAATTAATTTTTATCAGAATCAGTTTAAAATTTTTAAACAACATAAGAACATGTATATGCATCAGAAAAAATATAAGAATAGAAAATACTTTCTTTTTCAATTTCGGTGAAACTTGACCCAAGACCATGTACTGTAGTACAGGGTTTTGGCTTAATTTTTAGCAGCTTTGAAATTTCATTAAAAAATAAATTTTGATCAAAATAAGCTCAAACTATGTATGCAACATAAGTACATGTATAAGAAATTAAGAATGTAATAAAAATAAGTTCTAATTTATTTGCCAAATAATTTGCCTTGTACTCATTGTTGTTCAGAACATTCAAATTTTTAACCAAAAGTGTTCCATGCTAAAAACAGCTATGGTAAAGTAATGTAATAATTATGCATTGTTTGCATCGATAATTTAGGTAGAAAATGTGACAATCCAAACTGTCAAGGCATCTTACGTGACACAATAATAAACTTTGGAGAAGACCTTCCAGACAGTAAAAGAAAAATAAAATTAGAGAAAAAATGTCTATAAGCAAAATTTTCTTTTAATTTATTACTAGGCGAGTTGACAAGAGGTACAGAAGAAGGTGAGGTAGCAGACCTTTGCTTAGCAATGGGATCTAGTCTCACTGTGACTCCAGCGGCTGACATACCAGAGGTTAGTCAGTATAGCGTCTCACATAATAGTCACATGAACTATCATTACAGTGTGTTGCTGAGAGAGGAGAAAAGCTAGTTATAGTTAACCTGCAAAAGACACCGTTGCACAGTATGGCTGCACTATGCATTCATGCTAAATGTGAAGAAGTATCCACAATGGTAATGGAGAAGCTTGGACTGCCCATACCTGAGTTTAGACTGAAGAGAAGAGTATTCATTAAAGTGACACAAAGTACTAAAGGACCTTCTGAGGAACAGGTTTCTCTATCAATAGAAGGACAGGACATGTATGGATTCTATTTCTCATTTCTAACTGGAGTAAGTCAAGAAAAATTTAAATTTTTAATATTTTCATTTAATTTTAAAGGTTACAGTGTCTGTGGGTGAAAGACCCCAACAGTTGCAAGAGCCTTTCTTTATCAGGTTTCCATGGAGAGCATCAGCTGGTGCCTCATCAGATGAAATGAAGGCTCAACTGACGTTTCATTTTCAAGGACATTATGGTGAACCACCACTTGATAAAGAACTGATTATTAAAAAGGGAGTGAAAGGTATTTAGTAAAATAATTATTATTCCTGATTAAATAGCTCTAATTGGTTTGTTATAGATATGCAGCTCAAGTTATTATTGATTTATAATCCAGAAACAAGAGAATGGAGTGTAGAAGATGATGTTGCTGCTGCAGTAGTTCCAACTGCAAGCATAAAGAAGCTAACACTCAAGGACAAATAATAATTAAGTTACATTGAAAAAAGTAAAAAATACAACAAATGCAATAACAATAGATCATGGCTTCAAAATGATTGAGAGTTCATGTCTTTAAACAGACACAAACTAAAAGTCAAAAAATTACAACAAATGCAAAAATTGAACACACATTAATGTGTGAGTTATTTACAATAGATGACTTCAAACAAATAGACACAAACAATTGAACTTTATTGAATAAATGCAGAAGCAGGGCTCCTGGTATAAGTGATAAAATTATTTTGAAAATTTCAACCTGTTGACACCAGAGAATGATACTCTATGTCGCTCGTCTAATACAAGCCATTCTAACGTATCATTGGACTCAAATGAATCATTGGACTCAAGCGACCTCACCAGTGTGCGTGCTCCAAACATATTAATATTGGTATGGGAGAGAGAGAGAACACGTAGTGTTTGATTTATGCATAAAAGACTAGCCAGTGACCGACAGCTTTCAGAAGTAATACAAGAATTAAAATCAAGCGACAGAAATGTAAGAGTTACGTTAATTTTCAATGAATGTGCCAAAATTTTGACACCCTCATCATTAATTGTGTCATGAGTAAGCAGTAAACGCTTCAATGTCAAGTTGTCTGCCATTAGCACGGAAAAATGGTGGTCAAACTCGTTTAATGGGCTTGAGCGTATACTGAGACACTTTACAGATTGATCTGTTAATACAGATGGTACAAATGACTTTAAAGTTTTGAGGGTTAAGTTCTCGAAAAAGATCTCATCTTTGGCCTCCATATGTCGCTTTGAGGATGATGATTCGGTAATGTGCTGTACCTTACTGTCAGATTCAATTTGTTCTAGAAAAGGTAATACAGTAAAATAGCATATAAAAGGTGTGTAAATGTATAAAAATCTAATTGGAGTGAAATTTTCAGTTCATTACCAGATATAAAATGTAGAACTATGATACATTTTACGTACCAGGTGTTCTTTCTTTTTTTTTAATTTCAGATTCAAGCTTTTCATTCTCAAACATCAGTGCTTTATTCCGAGCTTTATGCATTTTATTCTGTTCCTGCAATTCAGAAACAGATCCTAAAAAATAAATTGAGCTAGCATGGTCGATTCAATAATACTGGTATCATACTAGATAATTGTTCCAGTTTTTTGTCAGCTAAATGTTGCTTCATTTCTGTAGTGTAAGTTGACAGACAATCTTTTGATCAGTACATACCTTGTATTTTTTCTCTTGATTCTTCTTTTTTGGCTTTCTTTAGCTCTTGAAGTGCTTCAAGCAATGAAAACACCATTTTTTCCAAAATAACAATTTTTGAATCTATTCCTTTTAATTCAATAACATAAAATTAGTCAGTATAATGCAAACAATAATTATTAGAGTCTGTATTGTATTGTACATATGATGTGGTCAGTGGCAGTAATTTAAAAGCATTATCATTTTTAATTGTATCAATTATGTCAAGCTATACCTTCGTTGACTTTTGCTGACTCTGCTGGACAAGGTACATCAATATTCCCTGCTATTCATGAATTTTTTATCACTATTGTTTATTGATAAAAATATTCATCTTACTTGGTGTCACTTCAATCTTCCCAATAACAAACTCACTGATGCCTTGAGTTTTTGATGACTCAGTTGGTGTTGCTCTAATCTTCCCACCAACATACTCACTGATGCCCTGAGTTGTTGATGACTCAGTTGCACATTGACCTGTGACAAAAGCATCATATACATGCATTATGCAGTAGCATCATTCGTCTATGGTCTATTTTAACTTACGAGTTGTTCCCTCATAAATTGTCATGAGATTTTTTTCATAATTGTCAGCAACATGTTCTGTATTTGGACATTTTCTTAAATCTTCCAGCAATTTTCTCCTGCTTAAATCAGGAGTGTTTAACAACAGTTCCAACAATGCTATGGTCTTATCAGGGATGAGGGCTTTAATATCCTCATTCAAATCTTGCTTCCTTACAGCCAAAACCAATCTAAATGAAAGCCAACTTTTCTCAAAATCAATATATTCAACTAGCTCTTTTGAAGTTGGCTTCTGTGTTAAGAAATCATCAAAAGAGTAGTTCTTGTTGGAACACATAATTGTTTTCAGCCGTATACTAGATCGTGTTTGTGTAAAACGGTCTATACATATTATAAACAATATGTGGCATTACTACGTACTCTTGCTGGCATGCATTTCCTTTTTGTGAATGTGTATCATTTCTATGACCAGATGCAATAACAATTATGAATCATTTATGAACTAATAACAAAAACAAACAAGTCATGAGCATAATTGCAGGTGTACATGTATATGCACTGTTAATTTATTAATAAAATAGTTTGATTAACAATAAACAAAATATGCAGCACTAAAAATATAATGTGTGTATTATATGCCATGATAATATATGGGTAAATAAACTGACATCAAGGATACTTTGAATTGATATTACCCGAAGTATCTAATGTGGAGGGTGTATTAACCCATATCAGTGTGTTTAACATAATTATCTCATGTGTACTATATCCTAACACTATTACATCAGTCTAGCTCCCATACAAAAAGTTGATTATTACAAAGGAAATGAAAGGTAGCAAGTTATGCCAAGTTATTATTTATTTATATAATCTACACCAAACAAGTGGATGAAATATTTTTAAATTTTAAGATATTTTAAAAACTTTACAAATAGCTAACTAGATCTATCAATACTTGCAAATTTTTTAGCTGCAGCACTGTCATCAGTAGCATCCATCAAATTTTCACAAGTAGCTCTTAACTAAGTCTGTATTAATATTACAGAGCTCTAAGCATCAACGTCAATGTGCACTAAGTTATACAGCATTATTAATTATGCAAGCAAGATGTTGCAATTTGGAAATTAAAAACCATATTAATGAAGAGAATTACAAAATTATGCCATTATGCATTTTGAAACTTTGACTATTTTAGTTACAATTTTTTGCGAATTTTTTCAGCTGTAGCTTTATCACCAGTATCTTTGACAGCTTTGATCAAGTTTTGCCAAGTTGCTCCTCCATTTTCCATAACACCATCTTCACAACTCAACCAAGCCCCAACTGTATTTGTCAAGTGATCTTCAGTAAATTTATTTAGCGTTGTTAAATAAAGTCCCAAATTAAGTCCTAATGTTTTCCATTTCTTAGTATCAAATAACTTTAAAGCATTCAAAACATCGACAGCTTTTGTTATATCTGCAAAATAATAAATAATAATTTTGTACATGTAGATATGTGTAAAAAATACCTAGTTTTTGTTGAGATGGGTCAAATGATGTAATATCATTACAAGTTACTTTTGCACTTCTGCTTACAGGAAAGTCAGTATGAGAATCACCAGGTACTGCTACGGCTGTACCTAAATAACCATACATGAAATAATGAAGGATTCGTGTTAAGCCTTTATTGTAAGTTTATCACTAAATTTATATACTTACCTTCAAAATGAGACTCAAGTTGAGCAGCTGTATCTTCAAAATGAATTGTTTTAAGAGCATCGACAACTGGTTTACATGAAGCTGTTGTGTTTCTTGTCCTCCATAGCATAAGTGATTCTCTGACGTATTGCTCTAATGTACTGTTTTGTGCTTCAATATCCCGCAACTGTGAATGACTCAATCCAAGAGCTAATCCAAACACAAACCATTTGTTATCAGCATCATGATGATCTTTAAAAGCAGCACCAACAACTAACAGTGACTTAAGTAAAACAAAGTCAAATTCTAAAAAGAGTAACGGACATACTAAATTATATAAAGCTTGATAAAATTTTCTCACGCAAGCGGCTGTGAATATCATCAAAGGTTTCTTCAGGAGTAACAGAAAGATCAGCAAAAGTAGAGGGGCTAAAATCAGGTCTTTTTAATTTGATAATGTATTTCAAAACTGGATCACATCCTGTGAAGAAACTCACAAAATTACAAAATTTGATTACGTACCATTTAATTTAACTTTTATTTTAGTGATTTTATCTGCAAGTGATTGATTGGTGCAGTTGAATCGAAAACGAAGGCGAGGAGGATAAAGTAGGTCTTTTTCTAATTCTTCTAGTCTTTTAATATTATTCTTGGATGCTACTTCTTGGTACCCAATCACTTCATTATAATCGACTTCCTTTTCCAAAACCTGACAATACTCAAAATTAATTTTAATTCATATGTTTTTTTTACCTCATTATCACAATAAATGTCATCTTCATCTTTTTCCCAGCCTAAAATTTTCTCATCAGGATCAAATTCCAGTGAAATATTACCACCATCTGCAAACTTCATAGGTTTAGAAAAAGTAAGTGTAAAATTCCTTTCTTTATATTGCTCTAGAACAACCTATTAATGTATTAGAATTTAGTAGCTTTAATAAATAATTTTTACCTTTTTACAGGCAGGCTGAAATGGTAATATGCAAAAGTGTACTGAAACTGTCACATCATCTTCTTTTTTTGTTGCAACTGCTAACTGACACTGTTTATCAGTATCTTTATATGTTCGTTTATCAACACCAGCACAATGAGAACAAAAGTGATTACAATATATTTTGCATAATGCTGCTTCTACTTCCATTTCAGTGTCATCAACTGAAGTAAACATAAAACTGCCTTTCCTATAAAATGTTTCATCGTCAGCATTTAGAAGAACTAAGTTGCTTTTCGAAGTTTGGTTGGTAACATCAATATGATGAGGCAAGTAAAGTTCTGCTGGTTTCATCAGCTCCTGATTAATATAAACCCACACAATAGGAGTGACAGGAACATAGTTATCAAAATCAAATTTATCACCATACAAACATGCTCCAAACCATACAGTAGCTGACTCCTGTACTGCTCCTTCAGGAATAACGAGGGTTGTACCGTACTTGTCACAATGATACAATAAACCATTACTGTCTACTGGTAGTACTATGAGATCACCATATATGCCTATACATAATATAAGTAGTATATTTATAACATGCTGGCGAGTGCTATATATATGGTTTTTATAAATAATATAATTATGCTAGGGTGGAGCCACACATTCTCATATATGAAAGGGATTGGAAATGGGGCATAGCAACAGGAAATACTAGTTGGGTTACCACGTGACAACCATCATGTCCTCCATTCATAAAGCTGTGCTGCAAGGATTTCAAAGGAAACTTGTGTCACTTCAGAATAAATGTTGCTTATGATCTATAGCCTATTACACACATAGAATGTTTAGAGCTACATATAGCAAGGTTTTTGTCTCTGTAAAACTATTTTGCAAACAGTTATAGGTACAACAAAATCAACTTTTTTGGTACACATTAGCTTTTGTAACTAACTCATACTTCATAGATTCTAACTCTAGTGTAAGGTCATTCATATGATTATAATGGTTTCCAGTTTTACTTTAGCATGTTTTGAGAAAAGGGAAAATAAAGAAAGGCATTTTAAGAGGAAAAATGTGCTGTATCATTAAAACTACCGTAGATC